CGTACCTCTGTCAACGTGACTCTCCCCACCCTGCTCCTACCCCCAGTGGGATTCACATCTCCATGGGGTGCCCCACCACCCAGGCACCAGCTTCCACCCTGGGGTTCAGGCCAGGCCAGTGGCTGCAGGTGACACAGCTGAGTGACACCACAGCTTCCAGTCCCCGTCACCCAAACCTGCCCCAGAGGTTAAAGCTGCACCCGGGGCAAGGCCACAGGCACACAGAGAGGCTGCAGAGCCCCCGAGCAGCACGGGCCTGCCCCAAGGTCACCCGAGTGCAGGCCAGGTGAGGTGTGGCAGGGCGACACAAAGGGGTCAGGTCAGGGTGGGTGTCATGCCACCAGACTGACCTAAATCCCACTTCTCCTCCCTTCCGACTGCCAACCAAAAAAGAGGTCACTGCTCTGGAAGTCACACTGCTCAGGAGCTGCCCGGAGAGGCTGGTTACACATTACTCAAGAGCAACCATCCAAATTCCTCCTGCCAGTAAGAAGGCAGCGTTTCCTTGCATAAGACATGGCCTGAGCCACTGAAAGAGGCGAAGGGGCAGAGCTCAGAGCAAGTGAGGGAGAACTCAGGGACCAGCACGCCCTGCTGAGCTGGCCTTGTCACCCACAGGGCTCAGCAGATGGGTCCTGCTCCCCTCCAGCCCTGTGAGCAGCCTCTCCACTGGGATGAAGGATCCCAACTTGGTGCAGTCACAGCTGCCAAGAGCTGTAGATCTGGTGCACTTGTTGCCAGATGGAAGGAGAGAGTAAAAAAAAAAACACTGCAGGGGAATTTGCCTTTTCAGTGTATCTGTGACAGCCTGAGTCTGAAAGCCAGCAGCCCCCAGCTGCACACGCCCTGCTCCACAGCCTGGCACAGAGGCCTTTTTAGGATCCCCTGATTTTCAAGGATTAATGAAGTGTGCTCACCAGATTGGAAGCTCTTGCAAGAGGTGTTGCCTCCAGATAACTCTATCAGGCACGGAGGGCAAGCTCTTCCAAGTCACACCAGCTTAGCACTGGAGCCAGACCCACAGCAAGGACAGGGTGTCCTGTGCCAGGCAGTGATGCTGTTATCACTGTCTGTCCACCAGCATGTGCTCTGCTCCAATCCCCTTCCCCGGGCTGGAATAAGCAGCCTGGGAGGTTGTAGAAATCAGGAGCTCGTTGCCTCACCTCAGCAGCAGACCTCCCAAGGGCTGGGATACATGACCAGGATCATCAGCCAGTGCCAGCACATGGAAACAACGGGCTTAAGTTACAGGAAAAGGGTGGTTCTGGCCAAAATTCAGCCCTGAGTTTCAACAGAAGCGGTTGTTGAGTGCAAGGAGTTCTTGTTTGCAAAGAATTCCTTTAAGTTTATAGACTTACAAAGTTTTAGGGGTGGGGGGAAAAATAAAGACTACCTCTATAATTTATGACATCATAAATTCTCCCAGCTACAAAGCTGGTTCTGCTCCTGAGCCAGACGAGGCACCCAAAGCTGGAGACAGAGCTAGGCAGGAGATCCCAGAGTAGAATGCTGCTTCCAGCACTGGGGGCCATGGCACCAGAGTGGATCACAGACCATCAGAGCACAGACCAGGGGCTGGGGCGGGCAGGGCAGAGCCCACACAGCAGCACGTCATGCCCTGTGCCCACAGCCCTGCCTGCAACAGCCACACCACAAAGCAAAGTCCATCTCCACCAGGTGAGACGCTGCCCAACCTTTGATCCAAAAGGATGGATTCAGGCAACAGGGCTCCCCTTGTCCCCACGCCTGCAGAACTAGGCCCAGACACAGAGTAGGTGAGAAGCTGCCTATGGGAGAGCAAAGCAAGCAGCCCACGTTTTCCTGTGCTGCCAGCAGAAGTGCCAGCTCTGCCCTTGAAATGGGTCTTTGCATAGAGCAGAGCTGCTCTTCTCCAGCAGTTCCTCAGCCACCACCCCAGGCGTCCTGTCAGAGGACAGGCACAGCAAGGCCTGACAGCCACGAGTGTGCCCCAGGCAGCTCCACGGCCAGCATGCTCCTTCCACCAGGCTGAGGTGCACATCATCTTGCACCTTGCACATCATCTGCCAGCAGGGCAGGGCTGCAGGGGGAAGAAACCCCAAAGAAACACTGCTGGCACGTAGCTTTCCCCAAAACCCACCCAGCCCCTGGAGTATGGCCCCTTGCCACCACCCTCACACCTCCCAGGCCCCTCTGACGAGCACTCAGCCCCACATGGTGCTCGCTGAAGGCAAGGGCACAGCCATAGCATCATAGAAGTGTTCTGCTCAGAAGAGACCTGTCAGATCATCAAGTCCCAGCTGCTAACCCAGCCCTGCCAGGTCACCACTAAACCACATCCTTCAATGTCACATCTCCACGGCTTTGAAACCCCTCCAGGGATGATGACTCCACCACTGCCCTGGGCAACTTGGGACAGGCCTGGACAACCCTTGTGGGTTAGAAGTTTTACCTACTGCCCAACCTAAACCTCCCCTTGCGCAACTTGAAGCTGTTTCCTCTTGACCTGTTGCTTGTTCCTTGAGAGAAGGCTCAAGGAACCGTCAGGGAGCTGTGGAGAGCCAGAAGGTCTCCCCTGAGCCTCCTTTGCTCCAGGCTTAGCACCCCCAGCTCCCTCAGCTGCTCCTCCCCACACTTGGGCTCTAGACCCTTCCCCAGCCTCACTGCCCTTCTCTGGCCACGCTCCATCCCCTTGATGTCCTTCTTGGAGTGAGCAGCCCAA